CTGGGAGTTGAAGTCTACACGTCTTCAAGTTGCCATGGTTGAGAAACACTGATCTACAACTTAATTGGCTTTGCAGCTTCTTCTCACAGGCACCACTCCAGATTTCTTTCCACATGACCACAGGAGAAGTAAGGACTGGCAGGGCTGGTTTTTTGTTTATTATTATTATTTGATTTTATTATAGCTACCCACTTCAAAGGACTCTGGGAAACTTAAAGGCTAGGCAGCTGGGTGGATTGCAAGCAATGTGAATGGGATGAGAATGAAAGGATTTTAGTGATTTCAGAGTAAACAACATTCTTAGCTCCTTGTTCTCAGTGTTTTGAGTTCAATAGATGTTGAGATAATTGTGGGTTGCAGGGAAGATGACCAATGATAGTGTAGAAATTCCCAAAGTCCTTGGACATCATGGATCTTTAATAAAGGAACAATTTCATAGATGTCATATATATGGATAGATTGTATGTGGCAGGTACATTTTAAGAGTCTTAATGACAAGAAGCTTTCGCCTTACCGTGTCCACCCCTCCTGCCATCATCTCGGTGATGTTGGCTTTGATGTCTTCAATTGGCATCTTGTTCTGCAGTAAAAGGCTGCACAGAATGCCTCGGTATTCTTTGGCATTCTTCTGGTTTAAACAGAGATCTTGGTAGATGTTCTGTATACATTTGTCCGCTGGTGAGATGGAGAGGAAGCCATGCGCATACAAATAAATACAGATAGCTTGAAACAATAAAATCACTCTGGAAACTTGCTCACTAAGTTCTCACCAGACTAGCAACTTTCTATTCTGTCACTGGGTAAGGCCTGGAAGTATGCAGGATCACACAGCCACCAAGGGTACACTCACCATGCATGAAGATGACATCCCAAGCATTCACATGGTCCTGCCAAAACTTGGAATTGATCCTGCGCAAAAATTCTGGAGGTATGTACAACATTGGTGCGGTGGAATTAAACATCAAGGTGATGGCATCAATGAACCTCTGTGCCTCAGGGTCAATGAAATCCTGAAGAAGTCCCAAGCGGGTACCATATAGGACATTGCATACAGCTGTGGGAAGATAGAGATGGAGAAGATGGATAAAATTATCAAGACCATTTCTCCTCCAGAGGTAGAGATCTCCATCTAATTAATTTGCTGCACATCACTTCCATTTCTCAAGAGCTGGATAGGTCTGTTCATTCTTAACCAGGTTACTGTAATTGTGTATTTTCTGGGTTTGTACACTATTTTATGGCCTTGCACACTCCACTGAACCGTAAACTAAGCCAATGGGCTGTCTCTGCAGATCCAGCAAAGCATCTTCCCCCATGCACACCAACAAAACAGAAGTTAAAATTACCCAAGTATAGTATGGTGAGTAGATGAAAATGGGAGGAGGGGACAGGAGGAGAAAAAAAATACGTGGTTGCCTAATACTTGAGCCAAGCCCCCATCACAAACAGCCCCTCTCCTCCCACTCACATTCCAACGCAAAACGGAACAGCTCATGGGTGAGGTCGGCTGTCAATTTATCTTGCGGGCTGGTGCCAACCTTCATCTGCATTCTCTTGACAAAATCTTCCCCCACTTCGTTCAGGAGGGGAGCAAAGTTATCCACAATTTTGAGGGACATTGCTTCCCTGTTCAGGGCCAGGCGGTCCTGACGCCAACTGTCTCCTTTCCTGGAAAGTAAAAAAAGAAGTAAATTCAGCATGGAAGCCAGGGCCGTTTCAGTCATAATTTCTCCATCGTGTCAGCTGTTCTCCTTCAGGCTGGTGGAGAAGGAATTGTTCTCAAAAGGGGTGAAAATGTCAATGAAATGTACAGGGATTGGGGGAAGGCCTGGTATTTGTAATTTAGCAGATTCCTTTCCTTATACAACCTTCTCCTACAAAGGGCGAGGCTTCGATCCTGTAGTTGCACCGACCATCTTGACTTTTTTGACCCACTGGCAATGTGTCTATGGTTTTTTGGGCTCCTCACATTTCCATTAAACCCCAAGGGGAAACTGTCATAAAGGAAATCCTTCTATGGCATATTTTTCAGAGAGAGACAGGTGAGTAGCCAAGAGAAGTATAGAAAGAGAACTGGTGAAAACCCCAATCCCTTTGCCACTACAATAAAGTGAGCTCATAAATTGCAAAAGAAGTTCTAGAGAAATTCTAAAGTGACCTGAAGAAGACATGGAAAAATAAGATAATCTGGGGAATTAACCATTGTGAACAACTGAGTTCTGATTTCCCTCTTTCTGAATGATCTCCAGCCCCACCCTATGGGTATGGTGTGGGGTTCAGTTGCTTGATGGCAATCATCAGCAAACCTGTGGGCCAATCCTACCACGTCTTGCAGGTTCTTACTTGAGGAGCACCCCACAAGGCTTGTTACGGAAGTCCCGATAGGCGATCCAAGGGGGTACAGTAAATCTCTCCGGGTACAACCCTTCAGATTTGAATAGGATAGCAGCATCTTTTGGATCAATAATGTTGACACTCTCATAACTGCCCAGTTTCTCCCTGTGAAGAACATATTGATAAGCTGTTAAATACTGAATGGTGTCACAGGTTTAAGTTACTTAAAGTGAAATCTTGATGCAGTCCTGGGTGCCCAATTTTTCCCTGCAATATCAGCAGTATTGGGTTAAAGAATGAGAAAGAAATTCCCCGATACTTTCACAGAAGATCTCTCCAGCTTGTGGTCCACTTTGTTTTAGAAGACAGGCCTCTACCAGGATCCTTTCCTGTGTAAGCTTGGTTGCAGAGGTAGAAGAGGTAGTGTGACTAGGTTGGCAACTTGCCGGCAGCTGAAAAAATGGATAACAACATGGACAAAAACTGGTGTAAAATTGGTACCTGCTACTTATGGGCCATGATGCAAATTTAGAAAGAATTAGTATAATTTGCCTAGGAAATGCAATCCATCTTGCACAATTGAAGAAAATTGTGGTCAGATAGCAGCCTATGTACCAGCTTAGTTGTTATCAAGGAGTGTTGAAGGACAACCCAGGGTTGCCAGACTTCATCTTAGGTATTTTTTCATCTTTAAACAAGACTTGGACCTGACAGTCCTTCAAATGGAGTACATCTTCAACCAGAGGACAACTCAACCAAAGGAGGACAACATTTTGTGAAGCAGCATGGCCATCCTAGATATCTCTGACAAGGTTTGGACACAACTCAGTGGGTAGTTCTCAGATCATGAGGATCCTCTAGCAATGGTTTGGAGCAAACAACTTTTTCTCCCTTTTTAAAGAATCGTTAACTGCCAGTAGAGTCATAGCACAGGAGTAAAATGAAATCTTACCATTGTTGTCATTTTAAAAATATTCATCTTCCTCCCCTGAATCTAATGCTCTTCAGCTTACAGCTTTTAGATATTTGAAAACTGATTGCAAGGAGATACCAGGTGTGTAGGAGAGAAGGAGGAGAAGGGGAAGGGGAAGGGGAAGGGGAAGGGGAAGGGGAAGGGGAAGGAGGAGGAGGAGGAGGAGAAGGAGAAGGAGAAGGAGAAGGAGAAGGAGAAGGAGAAGGAGAA